GCGTAGGTATACCTGCTCGTGTAGGCTGCCCTGAAGAAACTATGTGGAGAAGTCGAGGGAGTGTAGCTCGTAGTCGCGCTGTGCTGCTACATGTAGCAGCGCCCGAAGAGTAGTCATCTTCGGAGTCAGGGCGAAGGTCTGAAAGAAGTCTACACCCTCGGGCTGACTGAAGCCTCTAGCCACGTAGCGCTCCTTGAACACAGGTGGCTCTCCAGGGGGGCGCTTCACGTTGAAGAGCCACCGACTATGGACTACGTTCACCCCACGTGGGGAACTACGTTGACGAAGGTGCCGCTGGATCTCCAAGATGCCATCTCCTTCTCCATGGCAGCTATCCACTGAGAGGCCCAGGGTCCCGAGGTTGCCTCAGCGTAAGTGCGAGCGGTCGGGATGTCAAGGGCGTCTGTGTCACCCTCAGGGACTAACAGCATGGAGCAGAGATGAGGAGCGGCCTCAAACATGAAAGCAACTCGTACTACATGTCCTCTAGGACGTCACTGCCAAGGGCAGGAGCACCCCGGACGGATGGAGGGCAGGCAGGGCCAGAGACCAGAGCTGTGGCGTAGTCAAGGCGGCGGGTAGAGGCGAAGTCAGCGACAACAGCGACAAGAGCGTCAAGACTCGAGACAGGAACAGACGGATCAGTAATGAGGGAGGCAAGGACCCGAGGAACAAGAGGGCGAGCGGAACGAAGGTAGACAGACAGAGGAGGCGGAGCGACAACGAGCGATGACAAAGGAGGCGAGGGGAGGAGGAGGGGACGAGATGCATGGAAATGGAGCAACATGCAGTGAGAGCGCTGGACAGAAGAGACAGGACGAGCACGAGAGGGACGGCGAGACCAGAAGTGGGACGGAGGCGTCGGGTCAGGAGACACGAGAGGGGATACAAGAGGGGAACGAGGGGGGAAACGAGCCGGGGACGAGTCCGGCAGAGGAAACACATGGCCGTAAACAAGCAGAGGAGGCGGCGGTGGGAAAGGCGCGGGCGGGTGGTCAGGGGAGGGAAGGCCGAGCAGGCGAAGGGCGGACAGCGGCGGCGACTGCTGCTGCTGCTGCTCCACGCCGACACCAGGACCGCCAGCTGCACCACGGCCAACTCAGGAATGCTCCACTCCAGCACCTCCAGAACGAGAACCCTCTCCAGCACCGGTGCCACCCCCGAGACTGCCGGGACAAGCCACGGCAAGAACCCCAGGACTCGCACCCCTAGAACCAGCACCCCCAGAACGAGAACCCTCTCCGGCATCGATGCCATCCCCAGAATCGCCGGGACAAGCCACGACAGGAACCCCTTGACTAGTACCCTCCTCAACGCCCGCACCCCCTGAGTCCACGGACAGTTGCTGCTGCGGCGGTGACGGCGGCGGCTGCTGAGACGGCAGAGGAGGAGACGCCGAGGGAGCCACAGGTGGCAAGAACTACACCGTAGGGCCACCAGAGTCAGCCAGCTCCTTGACCGGGACAATCGACGGGATGGGAGTGACGTGAGACACACCAGACAGAGCAGGACGGGGAGGGAGCGGAGTACGGGCTACCAGGGGAGAGGGAACCAGGAACAGGGGCGGGGAAACCAAGAGACCTGGGTTGGGAAAGTAGTGGTAAAAGGAGACAAACTCGTCGAAAGTGACGTTACGGGAGTGAAAGAAGCGGTGAGACGGCGGGTGGTAAAAGTGCCAGTCAGACAAGTCAAGGGGGAAATCGAGGAAGACACAAGGGATCGTGCGGGTAGTGAGCTTGTCCATGCCAGAGGCACGAACGTGAGCAAGGCAGCCCCAAACGTGGAACGCAAATGCGTCACCAGGGAACCAGGTCCAAAGAAGGGTCGGTGAAACCTGCGGCCGCTGGGTGAGCGGCGTAGCAAACAGCGAACGGCCACAGAAAATAGGGTGCACCGGCATGGATCATGGAGGTACGAGCCACCTCCATGACCAAGCCGATGCGTCGCTCAGTGACCCCATTCTGCTACGGGGAGTCCAGTAGGGTGTACAACTGGGTGATGCTCTCCGCACGACATAACTGTCCAAGCCGACCAGAGGCGAACTCGCCGCCACGGTCGGAGTGGAGACACAGCACAGGGAGACCGTGGTGGAGGCGCGCAACTACGACCCACGTGATAAGAACATCAGGCACATCGACCTTCCACTCCAAGGGAAACACCGTGGTGTAGCGCGTTGAGTCGTCGACGAGCACTAGAAAGTAGCGCTCATGACGCGGTCCAGGGACGGGGGCTGGGCCCCAGACGTCCAGGTGCAAGGTCTGGAGGGGTGTGGAGGAGGGGTGAGGAGCACGGTGCAGCCGGCCCTCGGCGCAGGGCGTACACGGCGGTGTAGGCGAGAGAGGGCGGGCAGGGAGCGACGTAGGGAGACCGAGGACTAGACCGTGCTGAGACATGTGACGCAGACGCGGGAGTGCGGGGTGACCTAGGTGGTGGTGCCACAAAAGCGACGGGTGAGTGAGGGACCAACACGAGCAAGCCACAGTGACCTGGGTTGAAGCAGGACCCGGGGAGGACGCGCCCACCGGGGGGGAAGCATTGTCTAGCGTAAACAGGCAAGACACCGAGTCTCGGGGGAACGTCGCAAGGGGGCACCTGAGGCGGCCTCGGTACAGACACCATACCGCTCGTGACCAGGGAAAGTAGTGGTGACGCCGAGGTCCTGAAGACAACCGACACCAACTAGGTTCCTGGAAAACGAAGGGATGTGCAGGCTTGTAAGCGAGCCCGAGGGAACCGTTGGACAGGGAAGTGTAGTGTAGCTACGGGCAACGACACGACCAGAGGAGGGGTCAGCAAGTGCGACAGAGGCAGGCGCTGCAAGCGGTGTGAGTATGGCGTGGTCGCGGAAGAAGCAAGCAGACGCACCAAAGTCAAGCTCAAAGGACAGCGAAGCAGAAGCTGCGGCCGGAGGAGGAGAGAGCGTGGAGCCTAGGTTAGACAAGGCAGAAGGTCCTACGCCTGACGCAGCAGGGGAGTCTGTACTACACACAGGTACTACACCTAAACTAGATAACACAGGGTAATAAGATCCGAGCAAACTAGAAGCATCAGCATACAGAGAATGCAGGGCAAAACTAATGTGATCCATGTCTAAGTCAAAGACACGCACACCGTGGCGCAGCAGACTGGGCCAATCAGGGAGGTCCGGGGCCAGGCCGAAGCGGCGACGAAAGAGGTCGTCGAGGCGACGGAAGTAGCGTACAGTCGGGTGCGGGCGAGGACACACAGTGCCATGGAGGGGGCCGGTCTGGAGCTGGTACTGGTAGCTTACACCACCAAAGCCGACGCCGAGCTGCGAGGGCCGCCACCGCGGCCACCACCTCCAGAGGCTCCTGGCCACCTCGGCGGGAGGCGGGCCCACGACTGCTGCTGCTGCTGCTGCGGCTACTGCTGCGGCTGCAGCTGCTGCGACGGCTGCTGCTTCGGCGGCTACGGGTGCTGCTACTCCTGGGCACCAGCCCCGATCCCCTCGTCAGACCCACTGTCCCCACCACCACCACCACCCCCAGCACCCCCGACACGACGCCCCCCCTTGGGGCCACGACGGCCCCGACGTGGGCGCAGCTGCGGGGACGCCGCATCTGCGGTCTCTGCGGCTGAGGCAGTCGCAGTGACCGCGGCTGAAACGTCAGCGTACGTGCACTGGGAGGGCACACTGCCCTGAAAGATAGGGACTGCCGTAGCACCGCTCGACTGAGCGATAGTGCGCTGGCGGGTCTCTATCTGAGACAAGGCGGTGACAAAGGCGGTCAGGGTGAGGTCACCGGGGTGCTGGCTAAGGAAGTGGTCGCGAGCAGTGGCTACGCACTCCGGAAGGCGCATAGCAATGAGGTACAGTGTAGCACAGAACGGCGGGGGGAAGGCAGTGAGCTGGGCGTCAGTGCTAGCGGCGCGGTAGCTAGCCTCTAGTGCACGGAGATGAGTGACTAGGTCAGTGATAGTGGGGAAAGCGGCAAGATCAGGGAACAGCATGGGGAGGATCAGGCGGCCAACAGAGGCGGAGGCAGGCGTGGAGTAGCGCGCAACGACTGCGTCTAAGAAATCCTGGGCATTCGCGACAGCAGTGAAGCGCGGACGCTCAGACAGGGGAAGAGCATGACTAATGGCTAGCTGCGCTACGGCATCGCGGGAATCCTAGACAGCGCGAGCAAGTGCAGCAGCAGAAAAGGCCTCACGCTGAGCAATGGTGGGGTCAGCAGGGAGGGGATCAAGCGCGAGGGGGTGGGGAAGCAAGCCATCAACATGCATAGCCAAGGAGTGCCCATCCTCGCGCTGACCTGTGAGGTGACGACGGAGATCGACAAGCCAGGCGGCGAAGTCGATCGCGTGCCCCTCCGCGTCCAGGAGGAGTACAGCGCCCGCCATCGTGCGACCTCAGCGTCACAGCTCCACGGCGGCACAGCGACACAGCGACACAGCTACTCAGCGGCACGGCGACACAGCGGCGCGGCGGCAGAACTCTCTGGAGGGAAGACCGAGCGGAAGGCCGGGCGGGGCGCACAGGGCCAGCGGCGTATAGAAGGACCGGCTGGGGCTCACGGGGCCAGCAGAACACGTAGAAGGCCGGCGAGGCGCGATGGGCCGGCAGGGCTCAAAAGGGGAGGCGAGGCGCTACGGGCCGGTTGAGCACTAGGGCCAGGCGGGGCGCTAGGGCCGGTCGGGGCGCGAGGGGCAGGCGGGGCGCGTAAGGGACCAGCGGGGCTCAAGGGGCTGGCGAGGCGCTAAGGGACCAGCGGGTGCTCGAGGGGCCGTCGGGGCGCTAGGGGCCGGCGGGGCGCAGGAGGGACCAGCAGTGCGCGAGGGCCGGGTGGGGCGCGAGGGGCCGGTGGGGCGTATAAGGGACCAGCAGGGGTCGCACGGGGTCATCGGGGCGGCGGGGCGCTGAGCACTAGCGGGGCGCACTAAGGCCAGCGGGGCGCACTACGGGAACGGCCGGGCAGTAGGCTAGGGCGAGGGCAGAAGCGGGTGGGCGGACCTAACCTACTATGATACCATGTTAGAATAGCAGAATGATTAGAACAAGAGACTACAGGAGATGTTATAGGGTTGGAGTTGTACCCTCTATGAACACAAACCTATCTAGCCTATAACTTCTACATATGAACATATGTATAAGTTGAGAGGTGCGCCGCGCCAGTGTAAAACAAGCTGATTTACTGCCAGGAGATGTGTACAGCGTGGACTGAGCAGCAGCCAAGCAGCAGCAACATCTACCATGGCATGGCAACCCTCTAGAGCCACACCTACTGAGGGACCTAGGGTCCCGTGTATTAGAAAATGTGAGTCCAGCGCGCGAGGCACAGCGAGCTCTCTCAAACCACCCGGAAGACTGCGCACCTCCGATTCTGCAGAATGAAAACCAGCGTGCAGATCAGCCACAACAATGGGCAATGGCCAATGGCCAATGGTCAATGGTCAATGGTAATGGCCATGCACGCCACAGCAGAATGACAACCACCGGCAGAACACAGTGCAAGTTAGTGACTGGAACGTGCGAGAAAATGGTATACGATGGCGCACTCACCTCTGGGAACTGTGGGTTGTCGTCCTTGGACTTGAGTTTGGCAATGTTGTTGCGGCCCAGCCCCATCTTAATGAGCAGAGTGTCGAACTCCACTATGAAGCACAACCCCGAGTATTGCTGCACGCCAGGAAAGAAAGGAGGGGAAAGACACTGGCAGTGGTTGGCACGACCTTCTGAGGAGACTGTCAAACTCTACAATGAAGGAACAGGAAAGAAATAGAACACACCCAATGGGCACGGCGAGATGTTGAAGCACTGGAACATGAGAAGAGGATGAATCACGGGCGTGAGAGAACGGAGAGAATAGAGATGAAGCAACGCCAAGGTCGGGCAGTGTCTAGGCAACCGACCAGTCCAGGTGAGGAGCCCCGCACAGTCAGCTTAATGCCTTGACTGTTGACGAGGTCGAATGATGGGCACGACGCCTTGCGAGCAACCTGAAAGCACGGGGGTCGGCAGGAGTGACGGATTCCGGGCAGTTGCGAAGAGAATTTGGTACGTGGTTGCACATGGCTATTTGGCAGCAAGAAACGGAGGCGCAGTCCGCAGAAACGAGGAACCCCTTGAGACGGGAGACGGCCTGGCGGGCGACAGACGGCAAGAGAGGAAACGGGAGGGGACGATAGGGGAAGGCGAGACGCGTGCGGGACAGGGGGGAAGGAGAGGGGGGAAGGAGAGGGGGAAGGAGAGGGGGGAAGGAGAGGGGGAAGGAGAGGGGGGAAGGAGAGGGGGGAAGGACAGGGGGAAGGACAGGGGGGAAGGACAGGGGGGAAGGACAGGGGGGAAGGACAGGGGGGAAGGACAGGGGGGAAGGACAGGGGGAAGGACAGGGGGGAAGGACAGGGGGAAGGACAGGGGGGAAGGACAGGGGGAAGGACAGGGGGGAAGGACAGGGGGGAAGGACAGGGGGGAAGGACAGGGGGGAAGGAGAGGGGGGAAGGACAGGGGGGAAGGAGAGGGGGGAAGGACAGGGGGAAGGACAGGGGGGAAGGAGAGGGGGGAAGGAGAGGGGGGAAGGAGAGGGGGAAGTAGAGGGGGAAGGAGAGAGGGGGGACTGCAGGAGAGGGGTGGGGAGGGAGAGTGGGGAAACGGGTGGGGGTGGGGAGGGGGGGGGGAGAGGGTGGGTAGGAAATGGGAGGGCAACTGGATGAGCAGCATCAGGGATGAAAGGCAAAGAGAAGGAGAGAGGAGGAGCAGAAGGAAGACCGTACTCTTTTTGCGCGGCACTTTTTCTTGAGCGTTCCACCGATCACCGGCGCTGTCGTCCGCGTCGATGCACTGTTGACCACCACCGCCGCCACAACGACAACAGGGAGAATGGGAAAGAAACCGGAAGCGGGAAAGAGAGCGGGAGCGGGAAATCAACCGAAAGCGCAATGGGAAGGAGATGAGGTGAGAGGAGCATGGAACGGCCCGGAAGCGCGGGAAACTGGGTGCAGCGAGGAGAAGAGTTGAGCAGTTGGCGGGCGCACGCTTGGGGGGCGCACGCTTGGGGGGGGCACGCTTGGGGGGCGCACGCTTGGGGGGCGCACGCTTGGGGGGGGCACGCTTGGGGGCGCACGCTTGGGGGGCGCACGCTTGGGGGGTTCACGCTTGGGGGGCGCACGCTTGGGGGGCGCACGCTTGGGGGGCGCACGCTTGGGGGGTTCACGCTTGGGGGGCGCACGCTTGGGGGGCGCACGCTTGGGGGGGGCACGCTTGGGGGGTGCACGCTTGGGGGGCGCACGCTTGGGGGGGGCACGCTTGGGGGGTGCACGCTTGGGGGGCGCACTCTTGGGGGGCGCACGCTTGGGGGGGGCACGCTTGGGGGGTGCACGCTTGGGGGGTGGATGTTTACTTGTAGAGTACAAGGGAGTCGGAGAAGGGCTGCGAGGGGCGCATTGTGGGGAGCAGGTAGAAGGGCACGAGGGCCAGCGAGCCGTCAAAGGCGAAGTCGCACTCCTGCGAGGGAGGGGGGGGGAGAGATGGTTGGAAATGAGATAACAGGAATGGGCACGACTTAAGTACCCTCACAGCTCGTATCTCACCCCGCGCCTACTCTCTAAGACCTTGGAAGCCGAACCACAGACACGCCGCTTCTCCTGTTCCTCTCCCCCCCCTCCCGGCCCAGTCAATCCCCATCGTCCGCACTGCCTCGCACGCCCCCCCTACACTTCCTGGCACTCTCCCTCCCAGTGCGCCCCAATGCGGCCGCCCAAACCCGCTTGAGCCTGACTGCCTGGGACGGAAAGCGTGATGGTGAGTCGCGTCAAGAGCCCTCCGGCAGCGCACCGCCTCACAATCCCCGCCTAATCCACGAGGCCCGACTGCCTCAACCGCCTGCATGCACTCGAGCTTGCCCTTTCCGCCCCTCTCGACTGCGTCTCGACTGCCCTCATCGCTGCCTTAGCGATCTACCTGATACGGCAGCACGCAGTCCAGCATGCCGGGCGGGTTGCTCTTCTTGCCTCGGACCGACGGCGGCTCGTGTGCTCTGAGCGCATCCCCTGCTGCGGCCAGCGACTTGAGGCTCCTGCGCTCACGCGCCTCAGGCGTCTCAGACGCGCGCTCCTGCCCGCTATTCCCCCTTAAAGCTGGCGAGAAAAACGACAAGAGGGCGCTGCCGCCGGGAGACGCGGGGAGCACGGTGGAAGTGAGAGGCCCGGAAAAGATGGATTTAAGAGCCCTGCTGGTTACAACTCTTGCCCTGCTGGGTGCTAGCCTGGCGGAACTCGTGCCTGGGGACGCGAGGAGGAGGAGGAGAAAGGCCGACACGACGAACGGACACAGCGGAACGGCACGCAGCTGACGCCTTCCTAAGCAACCATTCCCGCTCGTCAACGGCTCTGTGTAGCCTGATGCTGTCGATCGAACGGATGAGATTCGTCGATTATCGCACGAATCTGGCCGGCCAGCGCTGTCTGAAGCGGAAAGCGCGCGACCTGCTTTTGGCCTGCTTCGTCTCGATGATATTAATCGACCCGATAACCTAGTGACGGTCGCAGCTGGGGTCCACATGACACTAAGTAGAGTTCGGATGTGGGAAGGGGATTACGCGCGAATGTAGGTGTGGCCAGAATCTGGACGACGGCTGGGGACGGGATTCGGACTAGTTAATGTCAAGCTAAATTTCTGTGCTGTGGTCGGCTCGCTATTCGTCCCTAACTAACTCGCGGAGAGTGTGTGTTAACCTGCCGGACTTCTGACAAAGGCGCTGACAACATAGTGCGAACACGGAGTGCGAACCCTCGCCAGACAAGCATGCTGATAACATGGCTTCACGGCTTCGAAGTGCGATGCTGTACTGAACTGGTGCACTGTGTGCTCTGGTCGGCGGGGAAAGCCGTACTATGTGGCCCTATTCGGCTGCTATGCCCCGGTTACTGACCCACTCAGATGCTTCGGCTGCTGTCGGCCAGACTAAAATCCGCAAGCACCGCCTTCAGATCGTTGGTTACGTTACGCGCAAACCGCTGGTCAGACAAGCATGCCAACCAACCAGCCAGGGCTATTTTTTTTTCGTTTTTCGTTTTTCAAGACCCAGCGGTCTCAGGATTCGCGTCACTAAAGACCCTGAAAATTCAGCATTCCCAGGAAAATCTCTCTTTATTTCAGGATGACTTTGACCTTTCAATCTGAAATTCAGAGTTTTTTTTGGGACTCCCTACATATCAGCGGAACCTGTGGGCACTTCGAGTACAAGCAGGAAGGACTCGATGGAAGAAACGATGGAGAAGAATCCAGAACACACACTTGCTGCTGCTGCTGTCCTCACCACCACACCATGTTCGACACTTTCCTTAATCGCGACAGAAATGCGTACGACTTAGAGGGACAGTGCGCAACCTGGCTGTTGATATTAAGGGGTTGTGATAGTCTGACAGCCCTGCACTTCTGTAGTTGTGAAAGTTCCACGGAAAATTGGTCAGGGTTGCGAAGGAAAGGGGGGGGAGGGGGCGGTCGGGTGGGAGGGTAGGGTTGCAATTCCGGCACGGGTGAGTTTCCATGCCAGTCGGATGGCCAGGATAATTTTTCGCGCAATCCAGATTGCTCAGGGAGTTCCTCAGAAACGCCCGGAATCAGCTAGGATGTTTGTGAGTCAGAATCCCTCAAAATCATTATTTTCAGCTGGAAAGACCCGGAATGTACCTGACATTCTGGATGTTTACCCTTGAACCGAGAGCCCTGCAACCAAAGCCAGCAGCAGCAGCAACCACCCTGGGCTGGGGGACACTGCTTTGCCCAGCGAACAAGCAAGCCCTGTTGCCGTGTGAGTGACCCGCCCGCTGACACATCCGCAGATACACCGCCCCACCGGCTGGGCAAGGCACGAGAAGGTCCAAAACAGCGTAGCAAGGGCAGGCAGACAATCGATCGCGAATGGTGAGGATTCCGCGTTTGGTTTCCCGCCATTTCCATCGTGCTCTGACAGCCGCTTATTCGCGAAGCCCCGCGGAGAAGACGTCGCACGCACTTCGAAGCGGACTCTTGCGATAGACTTGAACCCCCTACTGCGTACTGGGTACCTCGATATCGGCGTCCAGAGAGCTGAAGGAAACAAAGTAGCCTAAACGCGAAAGCTGAACCTTATATAATTGTCCACAAGTGTTGACACACATCATACATAGCCACCACTACTGTACACATTGGAATGCCGTTACAGCAGAGTTTGTGAGATTCATGCAGTGTTCCCTAGATCCTGGCGTGACACGATTGGATCTTGCACACAATTTGAAGCTTCACTAGGCCAAGCCAAGCACTAGAGAAGCACAACACACAAGCACAACACTATGCATCCCCCAGGCAGCCTCAGTACCCACCACCATAACCTCGTGCCCCCTGTTGCCCTCTCCTACCGTCCAGAGCCCTAGCAGCAGATCCTGGCACTGCTGCTCCCCCATACGGTGCTGCCCCCACCCCTCCCGCCCCCCCATAAGCCCCTGCTTGTCCCCCTGCTGCCCCCCCATACATCCCTGCTCCTACCCCAACTGCTCCTCCTGCCGCCGCTGTTCCGTACGCACCTCTTCCTCCTCCCGCTCCTCCCCCATACCCACCCCCTTCGTACGTCCCTCTCAGTCCAGCCGTCCTAGGCGTTCCCCCAACCCCGGCTCCAGCAGCACCGGCGCCAGCAGCAGCAGCAGCACCTGCTGCTCCCGGTCTGTACCCCTCCCCAACCCCACCAGCAACCGCCGCCGCAGCAGCAGAGGCCGAAGCAACGCCTGCAGCCCTGGCCCTGGCAGCGAGGCCAGCACTGGTATCGGGAACAGGGAGAATGGCAGAGTAGGCACGCGTGGCACTGGAGCCAGAGGAGGAGCTGATGGTGGACTGCGCGCCATGGATGATGGACGAACTGTCGTAGCCGCCCGAGGGGGAGGCGGCGTGCAGGGAGTCATCGGGCAGGCGCAGGCCGAAGCAGAACACGTTCACGCGCGTGCGCCGCAGCTCCCCGGGCAGCAGGTCTGCTGACAGGCTGTCTGCTATACCCTGAGTGGGGGAGACGGGGGGTGTGGGGGAGGGAGGGAGGGAGGGAGGGAAGAGGTGAGGAAGGGAGAGCAAATAACGAAGTTCAGAGCCGGAACATGCACGGCCAATATCTTCGCGGCGGGAGGCCAGAGAAGTTTCAAATTTCCTGAATCGAAACGTTCATGACACACCTTGAGCTGCTCAGGCGTCTGAGGGGTGGGAATGTCCCTCTCCTCTCCCCACTCGCCCGACCGCATGCCGCCGCCGCCCCGTGACAGCTGGCGCTCGTAGCTGGGGCGGTCGTCGGGAGGCGGGCCTGCGGCAGCGATGGACTGCATGGTGCGGTGCAGCAGCATGTCCCTTAGCTGGAAGATGATGTCGTCCAGCGAGGGTGAGGCAAACGGTTGAAGCACGGCTTGGAAGTAGTCCAGCTGAAGAGGGGGGGGGGGGGGTGTTTAGGGGGGGAAGAGAGGGAGGAGTGAGCGATAGCCCCTCGAGAGAGGAGTGCATGTTGCACAGCTGGAAGACCAACCCCGTTGGAAGCATCTTGAAGCCCCTCTGAACACACCTCCAGCGACAGCTGGCAGAAGGCGTTGGCGTCGAGCTGCTCGAGGTCGGCGTGCTGGAAGGTCAGCTGGTGCAGCACGTCCATGAGGCGGCTGCGGCAATGTGATGCGACGTGACGAGATGTGGCCTACCATACCATGAGCACCTTCGAGTGCATCTTCAGGCATCTCGCCTCAGCACCCACCTCTAATGAGAGTTGGCAGAAGGCGTTGGCGTCCAGCTGCTCGAGGTCGGCGTGCTGGAAGGCCACCTGGTGCAGCGCGTCCATGAGGCCCTCTGAGAGCGTATTGATGGCGCGGTCGACAAAAGGGCTGCAGCCCGCGGACACCTGGATAGTAGAGAGAGAGTTATCGGAGGCAGCAGAGAAGCGCAGGTAAGATTCTCAGCCATGGAGGGTTGGAGTGGACAAAGAGTGGTGTGTGCAAGGTATGGCATGAAGCATGGCTGTGAGGCATGGCTGTGAGGCATGGAAGTCCCGAGAAAGAACAAAAGAAGGGACTCGAGCGAGAACGCGCTCGTCTCACTAGGGCGCGCCTCGTCTCACTAGGGCGAGGTCGTCTCACTCGGGCACGCTTGTCTCACTCAATAGCACAGGATCACCAAGTATCACTAGGGTGAGCTTACCTCAGCATGCACAGCCACCAATGGCAGGATGAGATCCAGGGCTGAGTCCCGCAGACCCTGCTCACATGGCACGGAGGATTGAGGGGACGGATGGCATGAGGCATACCCCATGACATGACACAGACGCATGATGCTGTGCCGAAGCTCGAATGGCGGTCTTGCGTACAAGAGGGTGGTGGCTGGGTCGGATGCAGGTACATTGGTGAGCACGTGCCCTTGCAGAAGGCAAGGTGGGGCTTTAACCTCAGCGCATGTGAACAGACACACCAGAAGGCAGCGAAGCTGAACTGACGGGGAACAACACGGAACAAACAAGGGCAGAGCAGACTATGCCCTTCACAAGAGGGGCAGCAACGCACCGACTCAATCGCGGTGTTGAATCTTCATCACCTGGACCGGCGGGGCAGCGGCCCAGGCAATGCTGTCTCCGAGGAAGCACCGGATGACGGCATGCCCAGGTGCTGCGCCTTGGTCCCGATGTACTGGTCGCCCACCGCCGTCTCTAGAGGCACCTCAAGAACCCTCAAAGCACGAATCTCTCTCTCTTACCTTGGCAGGGGGGGCAGCGGCCTAGAACGGCACTCACCTTGACGGGGGGCGCAGCAGCCCAGGCGGTGCCGTCTTCGAGGAAATATCGAATGACAGCCATGCCCAGGTGCTGTGCCTTGGCTGCAATGTACTGGTCGCCCACCGCCGTCTCCGCCTCTAAGAACACGCGCTCCACGTCTGCTAGTAGTTGCTCAACTTCGTTCAAGGCTGGGGGCGTGTAGCCTGGACGGGTGGGTGCTGGCGCTGACGCACTGTGGGTGGGGACGGGGGAGACGGAGAGGGGGAACTGGAGGGGGTGGCGAGGATGCAAGTGAGGAGGAATGGAGAACATTGCACTCTCTGCAGCTATCATGGTAAAGGCGTTCTCCAATCGTGTCACAGTTTGCGCACACCTCTCTGTCTTCCCACACTCCGTTCCCAACTGGGGTCGTTCCACAGGTGCTGGTAGTGCTGGGCCAGGTCCCGGGCGACCATGGAGCGGCAGAAGACGGCGTTTCTGAGCAGCATGAGGATGCGCTGGTGCGGGTTGCCCACCTCCACGCCCTCTCTTTTCTCACACACCCAGTTTCCCAGTCCTCTCTTTACCACTCCCCACCTCTCACAACTCCTCACCCCTCACTTCACCAAGACAACACCCACCTGGGGTCGTTCCACAGGTGCTGGTAGCGCTGGGCCAAGTCCCTGGCCACCACGGATCGGCAGAACCCCGCGTTGCTGAGCAGCATGAGGATGCGCTGGTGCGGGTTGCCCACCTCCACGCCCTGCTGCAGCCCCTCAAACTGCGGCCCCATCTCCGCCCCCTCCTCCTCCTCCCCCTCCTCGCCCTCCGCCCCCTCCTCCCCCTCGGGGGGAGCGGATCCATCTGGCAACTGCTTGGCCATTTGCACTAGCGCCTCTGGTGGGGGGGAAAGGGGGGAGGGTGGAGAGGCGGGGGGGGGGGGGCAGAAGAGAGGGGGGACATGTGAGCTAAGAGGGAAGTGGGCAATGTGCAGAGCGAATCCGCGTCAACTGCTGGTCACCTTTTCTATTTTCATCTCCACTTTCCTCGGCTGTGTATTGAGCCCACTCACAAGTCACGACAGGAGTGCCTGAGTGAGTAACAGGCTAACAGCTCACCACAGGCATCCACAAAGGACTCGTAGAAGGTGGTCTTCACCGACGCATACATGCGCCACACCT